TTTTTTTATAATTGAAAAATATATCACATTATGGCCATATTGATTCTCTAACAGATTATTTTTTATAATCGAAATATTTTAAATATACAGGGTGTTTATTAATTGAATGCCGATACTTAAGGGTGTGAATCCTTGGGTCATTTTAAGAAGAAAACTTAATATCAACATATGTCCTAAACCTCTTAATTTTTGAGCTACAGGGTGTTATAGTTTTAAGAAAAAAATTACTTTTTTATTATAATTTTCTTATCACTCCAGATATTTTTTATGAAATTTTGTACACACCTATTAATCATTAAGGAGCATTGTTTGATGTAAAAAATGTTTTAAAATCTTTGCCAATGACGTCCGTATTAGGTTTGAACTAAACATTTTTGAAGAAAAAAATGGTACGCCACTGCTTTTTCTAAAAACTAAAATTATTTTTAAAATCTCCATTTATTTTACAGCAAATTCGGTCCCTAGACTTACTCTCGTACGACGCACCATTTGCACGTAAAAAAATGAAAACCAAAAAAAGTTTTTTCCCCAAGTTCATTGAGACTGCTTTTGATATTTTGTTGCCATTTTGTAGACACCCACCATGCGTGGAAACACTTTTTGTGGGGCAAAAATTAATTTTCTACTTTCACAAATGACGTTCACGTAGGCATAATATTAAATGTTTGGATAGAAAAAACGGTAAGCTCATTAAATGCCCCCTTAAAGCAAATGAAATAAAAATTAGTAGGCTGGGTAAAGTGTCATAATNATATGTTTCACAGGTGATTCCGTGTTTGGGGGTTGCAACCCTTATTTTTTATTTCAGAAAAACTATAGATATTTTTCAAATATTTTTTATATATAAAAAATTCATATTTGCTCAAAAAAATTAAAAATATGATTTATGTAAACATATTTACAAAATTAAGTTCTCTCTTTAGGGGGGTGAACAACCCAACCCCATAGTGTGCGAAAGATGTCTGTACGATTAGAATTAACACTTTACAATAAAAAGTTTTTACTTTTTCTCTAATACGAATAATTTTTTCTTTCAGCCTAAAACGAATTTAAACGGATGCAAACTATACCCCTGACGTTCACCCTCCAAAAAAAGTTGATTTCTAAATATTTCGGGTTCTAATCAATATTTTGGAATGAAACAAAATGGAAATTACTTCTTAAAGAAAAAAAACATTAGTTTCACAAGTGATTCCGTGTTTGGGGGTTTCAACCCTTATTTTTGATTTCGGAAAAAATGTTTTTTTTGCAAACTTTTTAATAAAAAATGTATACTTATTTGCTCAAAAGAATTAAAAATATCATTTATGTAAACAAATTGACAAAACTAAGTTGACCTGTTTTTTATCGACGGAAAAACATATTTACGGGGTTAAATACAGCCTCAAAGTATGCCTCCAATACAGTTTTTTCTAAATGTCTGGGGTTCTAATCAATATTTTGAAATGAAAATGGTATAATACATAAAAAAAGAATACTACTAAAAAGTGTACTATCCGATATTCTCTAAAATTAGGATTATGAGTACCTACATTATACATGAGAAAAATGGGAAATATATTATCATAGTTAAATAAATTAATAATAATTGATTCAAGTAAAAAATGAAACCAACTATTAATCGATAAAATTAGCTTTGTTCATTTTAAAAGAAGTTTGCAACCTTTGACGTTTTNGCCGATTCAAACCGAAGAAGAGTTACGAAATCGTATAATAGTATGCTGCCAAACCATAAGAGACACGCCAGGAATTTTTGAAAATGTACGTCAGTCTATGCGAAGAAGAGTAGTTGCTTGCATACGTGTGGGTGGAGGACAC